GTGAGGGAGTGTGTGAGTGGTGTGAGTGTGTGTGTGTTGCATGTGCATGAGTGTGTATATATGCATGCATGCAGGTAGCCTATGGTGTGTATGTGTGTGCAAGCGTCGCGTGTGCACATTTGGGTGTGTGTTGTTACGTTTGTATGGGTGTGCATGTTGTGTTCGTATTGTGTTACATGCGCATGCATTGTGTTTGTGTGTGTTTGTGGTGTGTGTGCATTGTGCATTTGTGTGTGCATGTGTCATTTTGGTGTGTGTTGTGTGCATGGTGTGTGTGGTTGTGTGTGTTGTGTGTGTGTGTGTGTGTGTGTTGTGGTGTGTGTGTGTGTTGTTGTGGTGTGTGTGCTTTGTGTGTGTGTGTGTGTGTGTGTGTGTGGTGGTTGTGTGTGTGTGTGTGTGTGATGTGTGTGTGTGTGTGTGTGTGTGAATGTGTGTGTGTGTGTAATGTGTGTGTGCATGTTGTGTGGTGTGTTGTGTGTTGTGTGTGTGTGTGTGTGTGTGTGTGTGTGTGGGGTGGGTGTTGTGTGTGGTGTGTGTGGTGTGTGTGTGCATTGTGTGTCTGTGGTGGTGTGTGTATTGTTGTGTGTTGTGTTGTGTGTTGTGTGTGTGTGGGGATGTGTGTGTGTGTGGTATGTGTGTGTGTGTGTGTATGTGGTGTGCTGTGTGCATTGTGTGTGTGTGTAGTTGGTGTGTGTTGTTGTGTGTGCGTTGTGTGTGTTGTGTGTGGGTGATGTGTGTGTGGTGGTGTGTGTGTGTGTGGCTTGTTCTGCTACTTGTTTGTGTTTGTGTGCGTGTTGTTGCCTGCATCTTGTGCATATGTATGTATGTATGTATATGTAGTATGTATGATGTGTGTGTGTGTGTGTGTGTGATGTTGCTGTGTGTGTGGTGTGTGTGTGTGTTGTGCTGTGTTGTGTGTGTGTGTGTGTGTGTGTGTTGTGTGTTGTGTGTGTGTGTGTGGTTGGTGTGTGTGCATGTGTGTGGTGGTGTTGTGTGTGTGTGTGTTGTGTGATGTGTGTGTGTGCATGTGTGTGTGTGCATTTGTGTGTGTGTGTGTGTGTGTGTGTCATGTGTGATGTGTGTGTGTGTGTGTGTGTGTGTGTGTGTGGTGTTGTGTGTGTGTGTGTGTGTGTGTGTGTGTGTTGTGTGTTGTGGTGTGTGTGGTGTGTGTGTGTGTGTGTGTGGTGTTGTTTGTGTGTGTGTGTGTGTGTGTTGTGTGTGTGTGTGTGTGTGTGGTTGTGTGTTGTGTGCATGTGTGTGTGTGTGTGCAGTTGGTGTTGTGCAATGTGTGTCATTGTGTGTGTGTTGTTGTGTTGGTTGTGTGTGTGTTGTGTGTGTGTGTTGTGTGGTTGTGTGTGTTGAGTGTGAGTGTGTGAGTTGGTGGGGTGTTGTGTAGTGTGATGGGTGCATGTGTGGTGTGTGTGTGTGTGGGTTGGGTGTTGTAGTGTGTGTATGGTTGTTGGTGTGTATGTGTATGTGTGTTGGGTGTATGTGGTGTGTGGTGTGTGTTAGTTACGTGGTGTATGTGTTGTATTGTGTAGGTTGTGGTGTGGTTGTGTGTGATGTGTGTATTGTGGGTGTGTGTTGGTGTGTTTGTGTGCTGGTGGCTCTGGAATGTTTGTGTGCTTGTGTCTCTCCTACTTTTGTGTGTTTGGGCGTGTGGTGTGCGTGCATCTGTTGTATATATGTACTGTATGTATGTATATGTGTTGTGTTGTATATGTGTTTATATCGTGTGTATATGTTGTTATATGTGTGTGTGGTGCTGTTGTTGATGTGTGATGGTTTGGTGTGGTGGGTTTGTGTGTGGTGTGTGTGTGTGGTGGTGTGATGTGTATGGAAATGTATGTTGTAAATACGCATTTATGTGTATTGCATGCTTAGTTTGAGGAGTGTGTGTGCATGTGTTAAGGTGTTTACAAGGTGTTTGTGCTCATGTACTGATGTGTTGCATGCGTAATATAGTGATGAGTGTTACATTGTCTCATTCTCTTCCACATCACTCGCGCATACGTCCTCGTCTAGCTTGAGCGAGCGTGTGCGATTTCATCCGCCATACACCATGATCCTTCACTTTTGTTGATAAAATTTATGTAGCAATTGAGTCAATGAGGTTGTCTGTGAATGGTATGATTCTTATCTATCCCTCTTCCATTAGCATTCCTACCTTTCTTTACAACTGCTCAACTCTACTCACTATCCTAATACGTATATCTCCGCTCGAGTGCGCGCGAAGTCTTTATTATCACCTTATGTCATGACCAACTTTCATACACACCTCATCTGTAATGCGCCATTCCTGCATTCTAGCTAAGACGGGTCTTACCAACTTCCTGCTGCACATCTCAAATCACACTCACGCCACCATTCATAGACTAAAGCCTCTCGTCGCTGTCATCACAAACAAGGAACAGTCAAGCTTTATTCATGCCAAAATAAACAGTGATGATGGCCTTACCCCAACCTTAACTCAGCTCTCTCTCGTCTACTACATCATCTG